TGCCTTCGCAGTCCTGCCCAAAACCGAGTGGGATGCCCGCCATTCCTGCCCCTCTAGGAACTGCCCAAAGTTAATGAAGTTCAAAAGCCGGTTCGCACCATCAGGCCCCGTCTCCCCTACACCTGCGTTTAAGAGCCCAGCAAAGTGTTCCCTGAAGACCTCAATATCATCTATCGCACATTGCTCCCTCAACTTCCCTCCTAAAGCCCGCCACAAAGCTCGTTGGTCATGCCGACATTTGGCCACAAAATCTCTCATCCTGTCCTCCTCATATGCCGCCTTTGCGTGTCTTTTTGCCCGGTTATAATCCGTCCGCGCATGGCGGAAAGCCTCCCATTCCGGACCCGATTTATTACTCACCCGGCCTGGACCCAGCTGGGCCCTACTCTCCAACATGCGTTGCCGTGTTTGTTGACATTCCCGGTTCCACCAAACCGTATCCCCACCTGCCGTCATGCCGGTAGGTCGGTGGGCATCGAAGGCCCTCACCAGGACTTTGTAGAAGGCACCTCCAATGCGTTCGACAGCTTGTGTGGTGTTGCAAACTCCCCTCTGCAGGTCCTCGGCCACTTGGCTTAAGGCATTCATAGTAGGGGACCCCCCCTCAAAATATTCCGCGTAATCCTGGTATCGTGCAATATCAAACTCCACCCGGGCTCTCCGGCCTTTACCGTCCCTACACCTGCTTTCGTCATCCACTGTAACATTAAGAACAAGCGTCAAAGGACGGTGGTCGGTGGGCTCCCATCCATCCAACTCGATCAGGTTTCCTACCCTCAGAAAGGTGGCGTACTGCCGAAGCACACGCGGAGTCGCTATGAATAAATCGATCATACTACCGCCTGCCTCCCCCTTAGGGAAAGTTAGGCGGCCTTCTGGGTCCCCTCTCATCTGGCCGTTCATCACTAGCAGTCCCTAGGATCTGCAGAGCGCCCCAAGCTGGGCACCAAAGAAATTGCAAACTTGGTCCTGGCACTTTCGATTTCCGAGTCCATCATAATTCTGGTAGTCCCTCAGTCCTTCAAAACCCATGACCTCGCATACGGCCTGCGACTGCTCTAAATCCGGGATGTCGTTCACGTAAGCAGGTAGGTCCATCAGGGTAGCACGGTTCCGCTCATGCTGTGCTCCAGACAGACGTGCGTTAAGGTCCCCGGCTATCAGTACGTCCTCATCGCCAAGCCTGAGTTCCGTTAGTGACTGTTGGATCCTGGTAAAAACGGCTTCTGCTGCTGCAGTGCGCTGTGATACGGTGCCTCCACCATCTGGGTAGACCCTGGACGTCTCTGGTGCGAGGTAGCAGGCTCCCATCAGGAGACTGCTACCTGTAGAAAGGCTAACGCGTGCCCAAATGACCTCGCACCCTGGCAGCTGGTTGTCCTTGCGCACTACCGTAATACCCCTCGTGAGTGACTCCCGTACATACAGCGCGACGCCTCCATAATCGGCCCTCAGGGCTTCCTTTGACCTCTCCACCCGGAAAATACGGAACCCTTCCAGAGCTATGTCTTTCTCCTCAGTAGTGTCTTTCAAATGCGCCTCAGCCATAACAACAATATCATGACTCGTGACGAACGACCTAATTCCTGTCTGGTTGAGCTTGAAAACTCCCGCCTCCAATAGCCCATGAACATTCCACAGTAAAATCCGTAGCCCTCGGCTCGCGTGCCCCTAGGTGTCATCCATTTCGTCAGCGTTAGGGAGGTTTGCGAAGCGGTTTGCCCTGTTACCCGCCAGTTGGTCACGTGCCCTGTCGTCCCTTCCCCCACTGCCGCTTCCTCCTTGGCCCACCTGCCCGTTTCGTGTACTTCCCGCCACGAGTCGAAACCCTTCCGTGTCGACGCCCCTGCTATCCGGACCTTGTACTCGTGGATCGCGTCCGGCTGGCGGTCTGTAGCTCGCTCGCTCCAGTGTGCCTGGTGAAGCCGTGTACGTGAGTCCAATGGTGCCCTCGGTTCGCAGCTGTTTCGGGGGTTTTGCCTTCGGGTGTGGGATTGGTGGATATTGCCATGCGTGTGTACTGTCTTTGTCGGCTGCAGCGAGGTCGCAATGTGTGGTGTTGTGTGTATCCCAGATGACCTGTGTTACATCACATTCATCTGCTAACTGTTCCCGGTTTCTATCCACGTATTTGTCACACGTGAGCCATGACATTTGTGTGCCTTACGCCCGCAACACTTACTGTAATGCTGCCAGAAGATGCAGTGATCAGTTGCTTTCGTTACCAACAATAACTTTCTGCTCCAAACTTGTCGAGACAAGTGGGCCCCTTATAGGCCCTGTCGCATTGTGGCGTTTAATAAAACATGTGTGCTGATGGGCTATTTAATCCGGTTGCGTGCATCCCTGTCAGCTTTGAGAGACGGTGGCAACGCTGGGGTCGGGAATGTTATCTGCGTTTCATGGCCGCTTGGAGCTGATTACTCCCAAAACCAGTCCCGAACCCCCAGGACACTAAGCATTCAGATATTCTTACATGGCAAAATACCATTATCACTGCCGTCAGTCGATATTTCACGGTTATCTTGTCCCGTGTTTCTCATGCTGTACGTGCTACGGCCATCCCATACGCTGTTAGCACTACACGACAGCTTCCTAACATTAATCCAACCACGCCTGTGGCTTAAAGCTCCTTCCGCAGTTCACGGGGATCCTCATGCGCGCGATTTAAAAATATTTCCCCACTT